AAAAACGAGGGATATATTATTAAAAAAAACGAGAGAGATATAAAAAAAGGGAGAGATATAAAAAAAATGAGTGAGGTATTATAAAAAAAAATGAGTGAGGTATTATTAAAAAAGAAACGAGAGAGATATTATAAAAAAAATGAGAGAGATATTATAAAAAAAAAACGAGGGAGATATTATGAGATATTATAAAAAAAAAAAGAGGGAGATATTATTAAAAAAATTAGAGAGATATTATAAAAAAAACGAGGGAGATATTATGAGATATTACGAGAGAGGTATATTATGAAAAAAAAATTCCAAAATGTGGTTTATTTATAGAAAAAAATAATCAGTGGGTATACACAAAATTACGTAACTATTACAAAAAGTTATTCAAAATATGAGTAACTCAGAGATGTATCGCGATATCAGTTGCGACTCTGTGACATCATGACTAATATGACTAATAATTACTTAATAATTGATCAAAGATTTCTCAATAAGAGTAAAATCAGTACAGTCTAACCACAATATACCGATATTCGATATACTGATATACTATTAAAAACTTGATATAAGATAAAGTTTTATTTTCCCACTATATGTGAGGACATACTGTATAAATATCGGTATAACTTGTATAACTTTGATATATAAAAATTTCATATCCCGACATTCCGAGGTTTGGCTGTAGAACTTTATTCCAACCAATAATCGAAGTGTGTTAGAAATTAGTAAGTTATTTAACTGAAAGTTAACCGCTTCTATTTTTTTTTTTTTGCACTTCGTATAATTTTACAATTTAATCAAGTAAAAATTATGAACTCCAGCCAATTTTTCGAATGGGAGCAAATTCTCCTAGTCTATGGCCAACCATTCTAAAATATCGTACGAATTACTGCACGTTTCTTATCTCTTTTTGTAAGAACGTCTAGATGTGTATAAGAGACAGATTTTGCTCTTAGTTTTTTTTTTTTTTTGATTTTCGATTTCACTATACTGGCAATAAGGGATGGCTGTATGGTAAACCCACATTATTACTTACAGAGACGACGCAGAAACAATCCCATTATAAAATTACCTGATATAGGAATGTTGTAATTACCGTCACCCCAAATGATCGACATAATTTCTGAATCGAACAAGAAAACAGAGAACGTAGAAAATTTTCATAATTTATCCTTTTATTTGAATTATCCAGATCATTTGAATTCATATTAATTAAGTCGTGTAAATTTTGAAAATTTCATAAAAAAATATCATGGTTTAATTTTGACATTTTTTTTTTCTCATTTTTTTTAGCAAAAGCGAGAGTGTAAAAAGGACGAGAAAGTAGCAAAGATTCAACAAATCGGAAAATTCTTCTTTTTAGCGAACCACGTAAAAAAGCGAGTCAACTAATTTTACTATTGCACTTTATGTAGGATCTCGTGACTAAACTGATCGGCTACACAAAACGTTGAACCGTGCAATATGAAACACATGATCTGCCACGCCTAATCTATTCCATATTAGGTTAGTAATATACTAAAATTAGGAAACGAGGATCGTTAAATACCAAATATTCACAGAAGAAATTTTCACCATAAAAATACATTTCTCTATAGACAAGTGTCATTTTTTCTTAAAATTTTGGTCTCTACGCACTCCTCGGAACATTCTCATATGAGTTTTGCTATAGGAAAAAAATTTTCAAATAAATTCCTTAAAAATTTGGAAAAAAACTATCGTCCTATTTCTAACGACGAGGATATATATCTCACCTACTCGTCTTCCAACAAAAACAAATTCAATATGACTTCTAGTCAACCTGCAGCGCCTTCTCAAACTGCTAACAACACTTCAACAGACACAACTATGGAAGAAGCAATGACTTCTTCTCCCACTCATGCTCTTTCGCACAACGAAATTGAACTTACATCACGTGACTCACATGAACAAGATGTTCACACACAAACACCAATCACTGACAAATTGACTAATATGGATGTAGATCCCATAGATGCTAACACGGATAAAGGAAAATCACCGGAAACACAATCAGCCACACAAACAAACACCCCTAATCCGTTACATATTACGGTGCTAACAGATATATTTACACATACACCACAAGTTTCAAACAAAGTTCACAAAGGATTTATTCCTAGAGATAGTTTTCAGTCAAAACTTTCTAACAACGATATTATCAATCTAATCAAAACGTCATTCATTAAAGATAGCAATGCTTTTAGATTTGACGTCAATACAACGTCCACTTATAGATACTTTACCATCCATTTCAGAACACGTGACTCGCTCGACCAATACATAGCAAATAGTCCTGACAACCTCAAAAACATAAAAATTTACGAACTCACCAATGAGGCTATTAATACGTTAATAGAACAAAAATTCTCCAACCTAGACCAGGCTGTTATAAAAATTATGGATATACCATATAATTATGATACCTCCATGCTTATTAAGCATCTCGCTGCAAAAACAGGCAGCAATATCATAGAACACAAAGAAATTAAAAAACCTCCAAGAAAAATTCCTAACCGCAATAACCGCGGTCGTCCTATTTTCATAAAACCAGCTTATAAGCAACTTATTGTCCAATTTGACAAACAAGCAGCATATGATTATTTCATGAAAGAAAACTATTGGAGCCTCGAAATAGAAAATTTCGTAGTAAGGATCTTACCTGGTAACACTGAAGACCCTGAATATAAAATACGCACCAGTAATTATTTTAAGATCACCGGACTTCCCCTTAACACCACAGCCAAGGACATTGAACCTCTTATCAAACACGTCTACGGACGAACTTGTACATTTACACAAACTACCAAATATTCAACCATGAAAAATGCTTATATTTACGTCTCACCTAACAATTATCCAGTGGACGCGTCCAATGGAGCCTCCTCACTTTTCGAAGGATACAACCTCCACGTTCTACCAGGACACCTTTCACTAAAAACATGTAATATTTGTGGTTCACCACTTCATGAGACAATTAACTGTGACGACAAAAACTTCGATACAGATCATAATAATCGGAAAATCTTCAAAAAACGATTTATTAAACGTAACGAGGAAAAAATTACAATCAACGATAACCACAGAACC